ACGGCAGCAAGGGAGAAGGGAAAGCAACGGTGGCGGAAGGTCTCCCGATATGAAGTGCTCCACCAACGCAGGCAGCACCATATCTGGGCATGCAACAAAGTACTTCCTAACGGCAAGCCCCCCCCCCGCCATTCCCCCCCATTTCGCATGTTTTAAAAGGGCCTTAATTTGGGGGGGAGGGGCTTAATTTGATTTTATGCCAATAAATCATGCTGGGGCTTCCTATTGGTGGAGGCCGTATTGTTGGAGAAACACGGTATGTACCAGTAAGATATTTCTAATAAAGCTACTCTTTGAGGAATCCACCTGCCTCGGAGTTTTTGCTTGCAATGGATCTATTACTTGGAATCCTGACACTGGGGTCATTGGTCACCTTTTTTGACCTTCTGTCAAGCAAATTTAATGAGGAAGTCAGATTCACTTTACAACCTTGTTACTACTGTAACAACTGAAGTGATTCACTTAACTGTGGCAAGAAAAGTCATAAAATGGGACAAAATCCTGTCTCGTTTAGCAATTTTGGGCTCAGTAGTGGTCGTAAGTTGAAGATCACCTGTGCCCATACCTGAGAGGCGGGGGTTCATGGGGTAAACGGTATTCTTTTACCTTCTATCCAAAGTGAAGAACTGGAGACCGTTACTGTGTGTGTGTGTGTGTGTCCTCAGAATTCAACTCAGTCTGTAGAGCAACGAGGCTAGAGACTACCTGGCCTGGATTCTCCCGTCGACTCAATGAAGAACGTTAAATTTACTCTACCCAGAGATAAAGATGAATTAAGCCAAGAGCAGGCAACTCATGGCCAGCATGCAACTCCCCACCCAAAGAAATATGGAAGCTGACTTGCAAGGTGACATTTATTTCACTGTACGAGTGAGGCAATTTCTAGAATTTGGGGAAGGGGGGTTATCTTAGGCTGAACACCAGAACCACAACGTAACAGAAACTTACGGAGAGTTTTTCAACAATAGCTGCTTTGCCCTGAAATTGTAGTCCTTCCCATGTAAGGCATGAGGCATCTATCTGAAACAATAAAACAATAATCTGCTTAGAAACATTTTATTTTGTACACTAGAAATAGTCACATACTATACATAACATAAAAAAATAAATTAATAATTTCCCAGAACTCCTCACAGAGTCAAAACCATCTTTATATATTAAACATAGGCAATATATTAGTGACAAATATTGAATGCAATAATCGTAGCGCCTTGAGATTAAATTAACCGTAAGGTACTGCTAAACAACATTAGAAAAGTGCCAGTGTTATTGACCCCAAAGGAAGGTGCAGATAAATGATAAAACAGCCCACAATAAAAGCATCTGTTTCAGAGTTACTTACATATATTGATCCTAACTGAGTCCGGTCTGTATCAAATAACTGATAGTAATGCTGTACAAAGCTGGAACCAATCTGTTCCCAAATAGGCTTGTCTCCCATTCTGAATTCTCAGTGCAGCCAGCAACTGGAAGTAGAAGAAAAACACAGGGTATTTGACATCTTTATTGTGGACAGGTTGGCGAAACCACGGACCTAGGGTACAGCTGTTGTAAAAGCAGACAAATTTCATGTTGGAGATAACGAAGAGAAGCAAATGTTATTATTATCAACATCGATCTATAACCGTGATGGCGAATCTATGGCACGTGTGCCACAGGTGGCACGCAGAGCCATTTGTGCCGGCACGTGAGCTACAGGCAAACTTACCTCACTGCGCATATGCAAGCCTCACAGCTGATTTTCGGCCAGTTGAGGCCTTTTTTGGCCTCTCAAAGGCTTGAGGAAGGCTTCTGCAAGCTTTGCAGGCCAAAAACTAGCCCCGTTTCGTCACTTCCGGTATTTTCGGAAAAACAGGAATTGATGAACTGGGGCTAGATTTCGGCCTACAAAGCTTGCAGAAGCCTGCAGAAGCCTTCCTCAAGCCTTTGGGAGGCCAAAAATCAGCTGTGAGGTGCAGGGCAGGGAAGAGGCTGGGTTGGGGGATTGTTTACGCATGTGTAGGAGACGTGGGGGGGGGTGCACATTACCTTCTGGGTGCTGGCATGTGAGCACGAGTGTGCAAGCGCGCACACAATTTTTGGCACAGGCGCCCTAAAAGGTTAGCCACCACTCTGATCTATAATGTGACAAAATGTAGAATACTGTTTACAGCTCTAGTCACACCATCCAGAAAAAAAAAATTGAACAGCTGGAAGGAATGTGACTATATAACGAAGCTGCCAGGTTTCAAGCCTAACCCCTTAACCACTACACCAAACTGGCTGTTTGCAGTGAGCATAAACGAAATATGGAATGGCATCCAATTGGATGAAAATGCTTCCACCGAATTGATGGGTCAATTACTTTTAAAGCAAGTGTATTTAATAAACAGCAGCCCTGACTTAACAGTTCGTTTAGTAACCGTTCAAAGTTACAACGGCACTGAAAAAGGGGACTTATGACCATTTTTCACACTTATGACCATTGCAGCATGACTAGGGTCACATGATTTACACTCGGATGCTCGACAACTGACTCACATTTATGACAGTTGCACTGTCCAGGGGTCACGTGATCCCCTTTTGCCCTAAACTTCTGACACGCAAAGCCAACGGGGAAGCCAGATTCACTTAACGACCATGTTACTAATTTAACAACCGTGATTCACTTAACAAAGGTGGCAAGAAATGTCATAAAATGGGGCAACAACAAAATTTCTCACTTAGCAACATAAATTTGGGGCTCAATTGTGGTCATAAGTTGAGGACTATCTGTAGTTAGTGTCCATTACAAAAACCAGGTCCACCTACAATTTTTTTCAAAAATAGTAAACCCTATCTCCTCGTGAGCCACAGCAAAGCTACCCAATCAAGTTATGAACTGAGCACTAAAGTTGAGATAGTCCTCAAATTACGTCGACAACTGGGACGTGCTCCTGAAGTCAGAAGTGCAGGGACCCGAATTTTGATCACATGATAGTGGAGGCTGCAATGGCTACAACTTTGGGGACCGGCCGTCAGTTCATTTTTTCCAGTACCTTTAAAACAGCCACTGAACAAATTATGGCCATTAAGTCGAGGATTACTTGTAAACCTATTAAAGATTGAAATGGAAAAGAATTCCCCTAAGACAATCCTCAAAAAGTTCCTGTGATTAGCACACAGGGACAGCTGCCCTCGTGTTTCCTGAAAAAAAAAAAAAAAAGATTAAGGGATCAATTATTCTTCACAACTACTCAGGGAGTAATTAGATCAGGGGTGTCCAACCTTGGCAACTTTAAGCCTGGAGGACTTCAACTCCCAGAATTCCCCAGGCAGTGTAAACAGCCAGGCCTTCCAGTATACACCAGCCTCTCGTCTGGTCCCCAGCACTTAAAACTACAGGCAATCTTTGTTTTACAACAGTTCATTTAGTGACTGTTTGAAGTTACAAAGGGACTTGTTGTTCATACAACGGTTGCAGCATGGATCAAAATTTGGACGCTTGGCAACTGCCTCATATTTATGACAGTTGCAGTGTCCCAGGGTCACGCGATCTCGTTTTGCGACCTTCAGATGAACAAAGTCAATGAAGAAGCCAGATTCACTTAAGAACCATGTTAACAACTGCAGTGATTCACTTAACTGTGGCAAGGAAAGTTATAAAATGGGGCAAAACTCACTTAACAAATGTTTCACTTAATAACAGAAGTGTTAGGCTCAATTGCGGTCATAAGTCAAGGACTATCTGTATATAGATTCTTCCAATGTACATATAGCAGCCCTACTTAGAATTGCCAAATTTTGCTATCTGGGTTTTTTGCTATGCACATCTAGGAGTCTTATTTTACTTTGTATTTTTTTGTAAAAGTAGACCAGCATAGTTTTTGTTCAGACTTTGTTAACCTGGTGCTATTGTGACAACTGCTGAAATCTTCATCCAGCCAAATAGCTATACTTATAGAGGGAACTTAAAGAGTTATAACTAATTCATTCAAAAGGCATCAGATTGCTAAATGTTTTAACAGTGGCTAGAATTGTATTTTCTAAGAACTGGAAAAATGAAAAAATACCTATCCAAGAGGAAATTATTAAGAAAATCATGGACTGTGCCGAAATGAGTAAATTGACATTTGAAATCAGAGAACAAGAGGATAAACAATTTTATATGATATGGGATTTATTTTATCAATGGTTAGATAAAAAGACATGGTAAAGAAATAGACTAGTAAGTCTTACAATAAAAGTTAATAGATTGATATAGAATACAATATAAAATATATAACCATTGGATGAATGTATAAGATTAAATCATAACAAAAATTAGAATATCTCGTA